ATGACTAGTTTACATGGGAGTCACCACCGATGCGATCTGTCAATTCATTGATCTACGTCAACCATTTCACATGTACAACAATATACTACTCCAATATCATCTTTTTTTTTTATTGTTAATTTTCAAACTTAATGTTCTTGAATATGAGATTTCTTGTTCTCAAAACGTTAATTTTTCTTTGAGTCAAGATTTTTTTTATTTTATTTATTGTTTGTAATCCAGCAAGTATATAACAAATTGTTATAAAATCATTTCTTATGTCAAAGTGTTTAATTTTTCTACTAATACAATCAACATTACTTCTCTCATTTACTTCATTTACTTCTCTCATTTAACTTGATTTTTCTTTTTTGGTTGTAGGCGTATCCTCATTATACTATACAGAGCTATTTGACGTACATCCTTCCGTCGTATCTGGAACAAATAGCACATTGTTGTTGCAATTGAGGTCAAATGGACCTTTTCTAATAGCGTTTGAGATGAGCTACACATGTTTTAGTCTAAACTATGAGACTGAGGTTTACAAGGGTTGTGAGTGGCCACAAAATTTCATCAATAACCATTTAGTAGTTGTTGGGACAGGGAGTATCGGAGGAGTTGACTACTGGATTTATCTGAACAATTGGGGACCGAATTGAGGTCGCAATAGAAAGGGCATGATTGCAAAACATGCCGTCAAGGTGGCATATGTACCGACAATTCGGGATTTGGATGAGATATATTTTTTTTTATAATTTCTTATGATGTTTTTTCAAACTATATCATAATTAAATTAGTTTTATTGTTAAAGTGATTGATAAGGTATTTATAGTTGTCTTATTCTATCTTTTTCTATCTTTTTTTAGTGGCGTGTTTGAGTTGCAGGAAATGATGAGACCGCTTGGTTAAAGAATGAGTTTCCACTTTTGTGTTTGAACAAGATTAAAATGGTTGAGGCAAGTTTCGTTTTTATTGTTGCATCTCACAATTAGGGCGATATTGTTGGATATCAACTAAAAGTGTTTTTTATATTCGAAAAGTAACTATATAACCAAATAATTTTTTGTTTTACTATTTTAAAACCTCTTTTTTCTAGTGTACACATTTTTTTCAATAAGATGCTTCAAATTTACCAAAATACTTTGCAATTAAATTTCAATGGCTAGGATTGGTAAGTCAATTTTATTTTTGAAATCTAGAAGTTACAAGGACTCATATTTTTAGGAGGCAGATTTTGATTTACACCTAACATCCCCACCCCACTATTTTCAAGCAACCCCACCTCACCCCACCCCACTGTTTTTCTGTTTTTCTGTTTTTCTGGAGGAGGTTAGTTAGTTTGTGTTTTGCATCACACCTAACATCCCCACCCCACTATTTTCAAGCAACCCCACCTCACCCCACCCCACTGTTTTTCTGTTTTTCTGTTTTTCTGGAGGAGGTTAGTTAGTTTGTGTTTTGCATCGTCAAGGCAATATGTTAAATAATTCTTTTGATTTTTGCAAAACTCTAGTTAATTTGTGTTACAGTTTTTATTTGTGTTTAAATTCTCGAGCTATAACATGACTGAAAATTGGTTACAGTTTTTATTGGAGTTGTATGAATTTTCGAGCATAACATGATTGAAAATTGGTTTTCTTGTTAAGGTGATTGATAGGGTATATGTAGACAGTAGTTGTCTTCTTTCTTTTATTCTAAGATGATATTGAAAAGTGTGTCTTATTTGCAGGAAATGATGATACAGCTTTGTTAAAGAATGGGTTTCCATATGTGTTGTTCAAGGGAGTAATATGTAGATGATTACTTCTAATTTTTTGTAAGTAGAGTAATTAATTACTTTTAATTTCTTGTGAGAAGATATATGGATTGTGAGTATATTTTGAACAAGTTTAGTAAACACATCAAGATTCTCATCAATATCTTTCGAAAGATCAAGCTTAAACAAGAAAAATTTTTCAAGCAAGAACAATTTACTCGGCAAAAAAGTTTCAGTATTTAATTCTTCTAAATTTTTCATACAGATCTTTAGCAGAATCAAGTTTACCAACTTTCCTAAGCACAAAGTCAGATAAATTCATTATAATTGACGAATAAGCAAATTGATCCATTTCAGCAATTTTATCTTTAGGCTCATCGGGTGAAAAATAGTCTTCAACGGCTTTAAACACCCTCTGTTGAATTAAAATCCCTCTCATTTTTTGTTGCCAAATTGAAAAATCAAATTTCCCGTCAAACGAGGCCACATTAAAAGCTGGAAACGAAGTCATTTTCACAGAAAACACAGCAGATTCTAATTAAAAACAGCAACACAAATTTCAGCAATTAAAACACTCAGATTTAAGCACAAATTAGATTTTTCAGCACGTAAAATCACAGAGATTTCAGCCAGATTAATATTCAGCTCAATGAACACGCAATTTTCAGCACAATCAATTTCGAGCAGCAAAAAAATGATGCAGAAAGACTCGAAAAAATAACAGAAATTCAGCACCAAGCAAATTTCACCGAAATTAGCACAAAACGGCAAAAAATGCGCAATTTAAAGCTAGAACTAATGAGAATAGCCATAGGCAAGGATAAGCACAGTTAACACATAACACATGGACTGTCTAACATAGTGTTCTAGCAGCTAATTTTCGAACAAGCAATCCCCGACTAGAGGCTACAACTACAAAAGCAGTAAAAGTCAAGTTCAAGCCAATATACCAGAGCGAGCCCTACGTGTTAGGTGCTCGACTTACCAACGCGGTGGCGGGACGGCTCACGCTCACTGTTGTGTGGCCGTCCTGTTTCCACCGCTTGACTCATTGGCAATGAAAGCTCGTTTCTTGGCTCGTCTGACCGCAATGGACGCTTTCGAGGCCCTGCTGGGGTGCTGCTCGTACACCAGGCTCCCCAGAGGTTTGTTCTCTTTTGCTTCGGGCTGGTCCAAGTCCATCTCTAACAGACCCGTTTTCAGCCCGATTCAACCTAAACGCAAACACACATATAATGGTGAATAACAGCAAGCAAAAGGGGGGAAAAATACACAAAGTAAAATGCTGGAAAAAGGGAAGATAAAAGAGAATGGAAAGAAGAAAGGAACGAAACACCCCCTTTGACCGGAATCTGGCCGGATAATGAAGACACGAAGTCTACCGGCTCAGATCGTCTTTCTTTCCGGCACCCTCTGTAAGTCTCGGCTCGGTGGTGGTCAACGACAATCCCCGGGCTGCACGTCACCTAAGCTCACGTCTCAGAAAGAGACTCGCCTGGAAGCCCAACGGGCCCTTGCCGGCGATTAGAGCGGTGCGACGGTACAGAGGCGGCGAGACGGCAGCACTCCGACGGCTCTCACGGTGTCTCTCACAGCGGCTCTCACGGGGAGGTCACAAAGAAACAGCGGCTCTCACACACTCCACTCTAAAGAGGTCACGAAGAACAAAGGGAGTTTTCACTCGCAGAGAGAAAGAGAACGGGCGCAGCAGCGAGGGAGGAGAGTGAGATTAGGTTCTGATTAGGGCAAGAGTGAGGGAAGAGTTTATATGGTGTGTAATGGAGGGTTGCGATTTAATTCTCAAATCCAACGGCTCTAATATATATTACAATAATAACTTTTCAAAACATTCATTAAACAAACCTTCATTAAAAACATCCAACGACTCTTGGACTCATTTGTTATCAATAAAAGAAAATAAATAAAAAGAAAATAATCAAAATCGAGCATGTCCTGTAACTGTAATAAGGGCGTAAAATTAGAAACAAATTTAGCATTAGTGACTTAATATTAAAGAGTGTTATTAATGTAAAAAAAAGATAGAAATTTTATAAATAACTAAAAATCAAATAATTACAGCTAGTTACATTTTTTTATTTTTTTTGTTTTTGCAGATTCATTTGTGTAGAGACGAGAGAAATATTCTAGTTATTTACAGGTTTCATCTTTCGTTTCGGAGATAACTTGTGTGGCAACAACGGTGGGTTGGCTGGAACTCGGAAGCCGAGGATAAATTATTAAAGTTATTTGTTGTAGTCATGTGAAGTTTTGCTTATGTTTTGTTATTTGGTAGCCCCGTGTTTGAGAAATTTAGTCTCCAATATTAAAGTACTTAGTCTCCTACATAGATTGTTAATTTGTATGTTAGGTCGTCGCCCTTCGTGTAATTCCAAGTGGATATGTAATGTGTCCAAACTCACTAGTTTTATTTATTTTTATAATATTATAGGAAAAAAAATAAATCGTAACACCACAGTGAAAAATTATCTTTCCCCACTAATTGTTTCAAAAAAGTTAAGCACTTCCATATGTTTAGCTTCAAATTCGGTGATGATCGATGGTTAGATACTACACCTGACAGCCAATGATCAAAACAATTCAGTTTCTACATAGGATGATAATTCTATTATAGCTTATGTCCTCGTCTTCGTCCTGTCCAAGGTTCGAAGTATGGAAAATGGCCAACATCAAATCCAGTAGTTGGGTGTGGAAATTCTTCATCATCAGGACATATGCCACAACCAAGTTTTCTTTTTTGGTCTGCAAAAGATACAAATACAAAAAATATGAACTCTAAGATAAAAACGTTCAAATTGGAACATATAATAATTCAAGTGCAACATTTTTCTAAGGTGAATGAAAGAAAGCCTGTATCAAGCCACAACGTATCGTTAAGAACCATATAAATTGTAACATTACTTACTACCCTAACTCTGGTATCAGAAATGGAAGTACAAATAACGCGATTTTCACATGCATAAATAATCAATGGTTAGGATAACTCAACAAATTCAATTTATAGAGATGATCTTGCAACAAGAAAACAATCATTACAATAGGCAGTTCATTAGCGGCATTTGCCCATATATACAGAAGTCATCGGATCTTCAAACAAGGTATAGAGATCCACACAAATACTCGTGTTGTGAGTTCATGGACAAATTACAGCACATTAACCAACAACACCCGATAGGTAAGACAATATAAATGCGCCATATATTCACAACACGAATTACAAAGCAGATAACGATGTTAGGAGGATTACCAGGATCATCATTAGGTTTAATGATGAAACAATGAGTGGGATGAAATTTCAGACCACAGCAAAAAATCTCAGCGAAAAACAATTGCGGGGACAAATCGGCACAATCAACATTTCTGGGCACAGCCTTGAAGAAGATGTGAGTATATGATCCTGGCACTGAGTATTGAATCGGTGAGACGATTTTACCATTTTTTTTCACCATTTGCAGAAGGTGAAACTCAATGCCCTAGACAACAGGAGAAAGTAAATAAATAACTAGAGCACATGAGTTGATAGAGATAACTTAAATTTATTAAATAAAAAATGAGAAAACCTGTTCCTTGTGATAAAGCATTAAAGCAGCATCTGCCATACAAGACCAAGGATGGCTAGTGAACAAAGAAGAATGATAACGTTATAATCATGATAAATAAATAATAATAAAAAAAAAAGCAAAAGTGAATCTGCAATAGCCAAGCCAAATTATAATGTAAATGACAATGACATACAATGTTACTTCGGAAGACATAGGGTTTGGCTTTCCTTCCTTCATGAGGCATTCTAGGAATTCGATTTCCCTTTTCCTGCTCCAGATAGCAAATTAAAAGCATGCATGCCAACAAGAAAATAATAATGTGCGTCAAATAAAAAATATTGAACAGAAAATAACTAGACGTTGTAAATTATACACAGACAAAATTGATGATGCTGGATTTATAAATCCCTAATAATGAAGTATGTTACATCTCTGAATGTTAATACTAACTCTAAGGGCGGTCCCGAGCCATTAGACATATCACCATGGAAAAGCTGGAACTCTAACCTTTTGTTAGGATTTGAGTTTGACGAGTTTACTGAGAGAGAGAGAGAGAGAGAGAGAGAGATAGAGAGAGAGAGCTTATGTATTGTGTTCTCAATAATGCCAATCACATAAGAAACACTTTCTAGATCTAGATGCCAAATATGTCGTAAATTTAAAAAAAAAAAAATTATCAGGATCCAAAAGATAATGTGACTTATTCAGATGACCAGAACAATGCATTTTCGGAATGTCAATGTTTCATAACTACTGCAAGAAGGCCGGCCTTTTCTACGAATACAAAATCATCAAATAATAATACAGAAACATAATATAATAATGAAAAACACAACTATACTTACGAATAATCCAATGTCACGCAATACATGAAAAACAAAATCATACCCCATGAAAATAAATACTTTATGAATTTTCATCTTTTCAAAGATACTTGGCACATAAGGTATCTTATATATTTGCAATGCCACATAGAAAACATCTACTTTTCAGTGCAATGAGCCAAAGGTTGAAAAAAAAAAGGGGGG